CGATAACTAGGTAACATATTCGCGTAAGAATCGACGTCGCAAGTGCAACAGTTTTTCGGTGATCCTATTGTAACAACAAACTGTTACGATCTTCGACGATCTCGAAGGGTTAAATACGGAATCTGAACCCCGTGAAAACGATTTCCTCAAATCTAGGGTCGTTCAATTATCAAGAAATCTAATAATTGGATAACTTTATACAAGTATGCAAAGAAACGATGCAATTAGTTATCCTTCGAGCGTCTAGTCGACCGCGCGACAACTCCAGCGGTTAAACTAAAGATAGAAACGCCGGGTCTTTGAAATTCCGTCGTACATCACGAAACAAGGCGATATCCGACGGTCGTGTCAATTTCCACTGTTGACAAACGAGCACCAAAGAGGGGCTAACGGTTAGGGAATGATTAATAAAGATGCGCGGGCACGCGTTTCACCGGATATAAGGCCCACACAGTGCCCGCGGGCGTGTGTACGTACGACCCAAAGCGTCCCTGTGTCGCCTCGTCTCGTTCTCGCCAACTACAGAAGAAAACACACGGTACGAGAACGGTGCGGTGGTAGGTGAACCGGTGTGCGGCGGCGTCGGGACGCGTGCTCGTGTATCCCCCGCTCGCACGGAATATATACGCATACGTCTATCGTCCACGTGCATAAGTCGGACATAAAACAGGCTCGCTCGCGCAAACCACGGACCCTGGGTGCTGGGGTACGGATGGGGCTAACGGATGGACGGACGGACGGATCGACACACAGCACGCGCGCATGAATATGTAGGATGTCTGGAAAAAAAGCCGAGGAAAAGTGGGGGCGGCAAAGCCTCGACGCGCATAGTAATCGGAGCCGCGTCATGCCAATAACATCGCAAGCGGCGATCGCCTAATGTTCGATCGATAAACCTCGGACTCGTGGAGTTTTCCTTTGGCTGCCTAGGCGATAAGTGTCTGGCTGCTGATTTACGCGTTTCTTTGCACGGTGAAATCGTCTGGAGTGTGTGTGAGAGAGAGAGAGAGAGATAGAGAAAAAAAGGATGGCAATCGATGATGGAACGAGAGGGAATCGGGAGGAAAAGAAGGGAGATCGGGACTGAGGGACACGCGTGTGCGAACACGGGCGCGAATGGCTGTGCTAAAACGGGCGCGCGGGTAGGTGGCTCCGCGCGAGGAGAGTTTACAATTTTCTGCACGACGCTCGTTCGAATGCCAGTAACGTTGCGGATGCCAATTGCCGATAATTCAAGGTGTACCTACCCACGATATAACGTGGCACGGCCACGATGCTGACAGATTGTTGGGTACCGGTACAAGACCCCGCGCCACAACGCGCCACGCCACAACGGGGCCCCCCTTTAAACGCGCAACATTTTGGCGCGTCTTGTCCGTGGGGATACGAACATCCACCGAGGTGAATCATTTTACGGCTCAAGGTGCTTTCGCGCTATTCGTCCGTCGAACCGTTCGCCAACCGCGCCAATATGCTCACGGTGTCCGTCACCCTGCTAGGGATGTCCGATTCTTGAATCGATTCTCAATCGAATTAGAATCGATTACTAGCGAATTATTAATGGGGATTATCGTGGTTTCCAAACACTCTGAAATCTTTAAATCTAATATCTTCATAAAATAAAACGAAAGTACGCTGCATGCATGCGATAGTAGCTCTCATCACAGAGGTACACGAGTAGACCTTACGTCCAATGTATTCTGTTGGTCCATTTTTCTGAGGCTCTAGAGCTCCATTAATACGCATTGTTTGAATTTTGAATCATTAAAATCCTTTAATCCGTTCAGAAGTTATGATGTTTCAAATTTCGAGGACCATTTGTGGCGTCAAATTAGACTTTCGGTAAGGAATTTTTTTCTCGAAAATGCGTAGGATTTCGGGGGTATGTCTATTGACCAAAAGTGATTGCAATTGACCCCCCCAGCCAAAAATAATTTTTTCAGAATGATTTGAAATTTTTTAATTTTGTCGAAAAATTCGTCCACCTACTCGAATTTTTTTCTCGAAAATGCATAGAATTTCGGGGGTATGTCTATTGACCAAAAGTGATTGCAATTGACCCCCCCAGCCAAAAATAATTTTTTCAGAATGATTTGAAATTTTTTAATTTTGTCGAAAAATTCGTCCACCTACTCGAATTTTTTCTCGAAAATGCGTAGGAATTCGGGGGTATGTCTATTGACCAAAAGTGATTGTAATTGATCCCCCTAGCCAAAAATAATTTTTTCAGATGGATTTGAAATTTTTTAATTTTGTCGAAAAATTCGTCCACCTACTCGAATTTTTTTCTCGAAAATGCGCAGGAATTCGGGAGTATGTCTATTGACCAAAAATGATTGTAATTGACACCCCCAGCTAAAAATAATTTTTTCAGAATGATTTGAAATTTTTTAATTTTGTCGAAAAATTCGTCGACCTACTCGAATTTTTTTCTCGAAAATGCGTAGGATTTCGGGGGCCTGTCTATTGACCAAAAGTGATTGTAATTGACCCCTCCAGCCAAAAATAATTTTTTCAGAATGATTTGAAATTTTTTAATTTTGTCGAAAAATTCGTCCACCTACTCGAATTTTTTTCTCGAAAATGCATAGGATTTCGGGGGTATGTCTATTGACCAAAAGTGATTGTAATTGACCCCTGAAACCGGATATAATTTTTTCAGTATGATTTGAAATTTTGTAATTTAATTTTTTAATAACTTTTTAAGGAAGTATAAAGAAGAAGTGGAAGAATATGAAGAATATTATTGCATTGTGTATAAGGAATTCTATCCGCACGAATAAACTTAATGAAAAAATAAATTCAATGTTGTTATTGTCAAGATTGGACACACGAGGATCACACTGACTAAAATGATTTATATTTGCCTGAAATAATTGTGCTGAAACGTTAAGATGTAGATCAAATTGTCTCGAAAGTTTTTCTCGATATGAATTTTCCAAAGAACAGTTCACGAACAAGAATATCCGATGAATCTATTTCAGTATGAGTATTATTAAACGCGACGAAATATTTTTCATCCCATTAAAACCTATCCGGCGTATCGTAAAGTCGATAAATATGATTTATAAATTTAGTTGACAGTGAAGTGTAAAAAGCTGACTCTACCGTACAGCGTTCGGAGCAAAATAAGCGATAAATAATCGAGGAACGCGTGGGTTTGATCGAAATCTCGGAAGACGCGGAGAGTGAAGACGTACGTGTCGTCCATTTGAGAAATTGGTGAAAGAAGAACAAATATCGTCCGGGCATTTAATGGGAAAACGGCGACGATGATAGAAGGCGCAACCTCTCGACATTCAATCGCGCGTATGCCTTTTAATATTAATGCACCGCGTTGGTACCTACGTGTAGGAAACAAATACGCTTTCGAGTCGCGACCGGTGAATTTACGACGTATTAAATTCCGCTACTCGATATCATTGTAATTTTCTGAGATGGGCATAAAACTGCGTGCTTACGGGGAACGGAACGACGACTGGAAAGACCTCAAGTCGCGTTTACAGAAGTCCAATTTATAAGAAACTCCCATTTGGAACGTTAAAGCAACCAATTCTTCGTTTCTTCATTTTCTGAATCTTTGAAAATATACACTGTAAACCTCCTATCGATATATGACAAATTATCGATGAAAAAACACTTCCGTGTAACGCTTCTAAAGGTAATTCGTTAATTCATTTTTTCAGTAATAATATGTATAATACGTATAATATGTTGTATTAAAGAAAACCAATTTTTTATTTGGGATGCAGAGGGTTAACGAGTCCCCCAGCAAACGAACCAGAACACGTTCGTATTACGCGCGTTCTAATAGAGCGATGGCGACGGTCGCGGCGCAGGAAATTCTCTCGCGAGACTCTGATTAACTCCCCTTCCGTTCCGCACGGGTCCCCATTCGCGTTAATCACGTGACGTGTAATTAAATTAATAATAACACCGGCGCGAAGAGAGTTTTCCGACTTTCTTATTCCCAGAGCTGTCTCGTTGACCCATTTTTTCAAGAGAAAAAGGTTTTTCTGCCGGCTCGTATAGTTTCTATTTTCAACGGTTCTTCGGTTAGTTAATATGCAACAACCTACTTCGTTACGCACGATTCGATCGTGGCGTATAATTACAGTACTGCCTCTTTCCTCGTAATCAAACAGACCGTCGGATCTCGTTTGGAGAGAACGATACACTTTGCTCTTGGAGCTGACTAAACTTCAACGAACCTCTGGAACAGGCTAAACTTCTTTTCTAAATAAACTGCATTATTATTCCTCTGATAGACGTCAATATAAAAGTTTGCCCGACATGTGTGGTGACTTTTTACTAAGATGAATGCAGAAACGTGTTGATATACGGTACTTGGAACATTGATAGAGACACATCTAGACACCTTAATATTGTTTTATCAACAAAGGATTATCGTAAGACAGTTGTAGCTCGCTTCCAATCTATATTGTTAAAAAACAGAATGCACATGTTAGGTTTAAGTTTTCAAAATAAGATTGTGAGTAAAGTCACGTAGGAATCTCGAGAATGCATACATAAAATTATCTCTTATTTTAATGTCCTGAATCTCAACCGAGTTTCACAGTTCAAACGGTATGTTTGCACTAAATGCCATCTAAATTCTGTATGTCTTGTCAGACTTAAACCTAACGTGTAACCATTCTATTTGTTAACGATATAGATTGGATGCGTTCGAATACTTTCGTGAGCTACAGTCCACAATAAAGGACAGTCTCCTGCGAAGTAGAGTCCTATAAACTAGTTCTTCAGGACAATTAGATGTTGAGGTGTCCGCGAGGTTATACATATAATACTTTCTAAGATATATCGGGTTCCAACTGATAAGATTCTATCAAACATATCGATAGAAAAGGTGATGTAATACCGTCGCTTTGTAAGTTAATAAATTGGAGGGCTGAAAATTAAGATTCAGCTGTTTCCGTGATGCAGCGACTTAAAGCGAAAAAGTCTCGAAGCGGTATAAGGGAGATCGAAAGGAGACTTACCGAGCATCTTGCTGAGATCGGCGTTGTGGAGGTCGGGATTCTCGTCGGCCAATTTCTTGCGCTCGACCTTTGCCCAGACCATGAACGCGTTCATCGGGCGACGTATCCGTTGCTCCTTGAGGCTCCTCTGAGCGGTGCTGCCTGGATGGCACATCTTCACTCCCGTGGGAATCGGCGAAATGCCTTGCTGATAATCGAGGGACGGGCCGGAAGCCAGCCAGGACATGTCCTCCAGCCGCTGTTGCGCCGGCCCGCTCAGCATTCCCGGTATCTGCACCGTTTTCGTTCCGAAATAACATCGATCTGCGAATCCGCGACGCGGTAACGACGTTCCCGATAATGACGCGCTCATTAAACGAAACAGGTGAAAGTCGCGCTCGATACTCGAGATTCCATTAATACGTAATTACGCCGGAGATATTAATCGGTCCGGCTAATGAACGGTAGTCGAACGGAGCACGGAAACAATGCCAAGTAAAAGCTGCTGTTCCTTGGCCAACGGACCACGTATAGTAATATAATAAAATGAATAATGCGCTCAAGATCGAGAGATACGGAGAAATAATTTATCGCGCGATAATGACGACTACGTGGGAGTGATGGATCTGCAGGGTGAACGATCACGTTTACGTACAACTTCGTTATATTGGTTTCGGTCGCGAGTGATCGCCTCGTATTTTCAAAGAATCGCGGAACAACTCTGCAACCATTCATCCATTTGTATAAAATTTTTAGCCTCCAACAGAAGCTAAAACAAAAGGACATCCAAACAATGCACTGTATGTAAATCGATATTAATTGGAAGAGAAACTGTTTTCAAATGTGGAATTAAAGATTATCATACCGAGTAAAAAATTTGATCATCTGCTTTAAGTTTATTTATCGTACTATGTAAAAAAATAAATATTTATATTATAACCCTACATAAAATGATTTGTTGAGCAACTCTGATTTATAAAGCAAGCTTCACATTATGAGATGCAAATGGGTTAATGGGCAACGAAAGGTAAATGTTAATTATTTTCAGAAATTCATTTACGAGCCCCTTCTCGAGGGCAGGTTAAGAACCACTGTTTTACACGATTTGGCGTGTCGCGAGGAGCGCAGTAAAATAGTTGGAACGTAGGTGTCGCGGAGTTATGTTTGAACGAAGAGATCGTTCCGAGTGAAAAATATGCGGCTCTATTTCAAGAACAAGCTAAACGCGTGAACACGTACCGAAATGATTTGGGTATCGATGGGCATGGAACTGTCATTGCCGTCGATATTCGATTCGATGTCGTAGGCCCTCGACGTGGGTGTCGCATAAAGCGAGGAATGAAGTGCCAAGAGTCCAGGGGAACCGCCATAACTGCTCACCGGTGGTGGTGTCACCTCACCCCTGTCATAATTATCCAGCATCCTATAAATTTAAAAACGATTTATTAATCATTAGTTCTCGTTTGTGCGTGGCGGTTAACGGTACGGTCTTGCTAGACATCCGGTCGCGTTCGCGCTAGCAATAAAATCGCGCGGTGTATCGTTTCGCTCGAACGAATGCGTGCTTGTCGCATGGCCGACGATAAATTGTTTTTATTTTAGGAGAAACGTCGGTTTAGAAGGGCCGAGGACGAGGATCGCTTTCGAAGGGACGCAGTTATCATTATTAGGATCGATGATCGGAACGCGCGAATAAATACAGTGACTGTCGCTTAAAATCGTACACCCAGCGATTCAGTCGACTTTCGTTTATAAATCGTAAAATTTACAGTAAATGACTAAAACACAGTTACAGGTAGATAGTTTGATGCTTCTTTGTTTGATAGATTGCAAAAGTAGAATGAAACTTTCATTAATTTTTAGTATAACAAATACAAATTGTCACTACAGTATTTATTTTCGTTTATATTTGATATGTACAGATTATTTTAATATTTTGTAGGGTATCCTCGTGTATTTTTCATATTGTAGTCATCGAAGTATGCATTTAACTAAATCTCTCCAAAGTTTTCCTGAAAGTTTCTTTATTTGTAATATTATATGTAATCTAAATGTAAAAATGTGTGACAAGAACTTTAGGGCAGGTATTCGATAGCCAATTTTGAGCCAAGTGAAAATTCTATTTTTTTAGGCACTTTGCTTTAAATTATTTTTTAATATTAAATTGAATGAATAAAGACCAAAGATTAGAAGGTTACTGTAATCACTTTTATCTTTGAAAACGCTTACTTTCCGAGTTATAATCGATTTTTGCCCGCGGTGGAATTTAGCAAGATTGTACGACAACGTTAGAGATACAAATACTGTTATCGCTTTCTTTGTATTAACACTAAACAATAACAGTACTCGTTCTGATCAGATAAGCCAGCTTAACGGTGTATTATCTAGCAATCTGTGCGTCAGAGTGATGCGTACATTATCAGTGTGCATTTGGATCTTTTCGAGTTAAGATAGTGTTTATCGACACGTTTATAACTTCGAAAGGAAACGATTCCAAAATGTGTAAAATAAGTTTGCAAAATTTGGTTATTCATCAGTGAAAACACCTTGTACAATTGTATTTAACACGGTAGATGCCGCAGAAATTTTCATAATAGTTCAATGTGTGAAACGTGTGAACTTTTCCTTTCCATATCATAAGATAGACTTTTATTTGCAAACTTTAAACGAAATAAGAAAATAATTGATTGAGTTTGTTAATTATTTGTTGTTTGTTCGACGTTTCTATAACAGTATTTAAGTTTCCAAATGCAATATGATCGAATAAAAAAAAGTACAAAGCATGTTTATACAATAAATTCAAACGTTACCAAAGTAATTAACAAGAAAAATTTAAAAAAGAAGAATATTAACAAGATTCGAAACGTCATCACAAAATAGTATTAGAGCCTCTGAGTGCGAAAGGTTAACACTAAAATAAATCACTGCAGTCAAGTTGGTCAATACCTAAGTGTTTCAAAGTTTAATTTGAGAAAAAAGCCTACGTTTTTACCAAAGTTACAATAATATCGCCTAAAAGCTAGCTGGATTCTACATCTCGTTGGTTGAAACAAAGCGTGCAACAAAGTAGAAATCCGAATGCAAATTCCTAGCTTTCTTCGTCGGCAAACAGTGCGGAGTTTGAACTGGTTTCTGGCCCCCTCGTTAAATATCGTATCCGTTACCCCTTTTCGGATCACGAGGTCTGCGTTCTCCGGTGTCCTCCGCAATATCAGAACGCAACCAATTACATCGCGTCCCCAGGCAGGTAAAAAAAAAAGAAGAAGAAGATGAAGAAGAGGATCGGTTAGAAAAATGTAATCGTTTGAGGGGGGGGATTAAGCGAACGATATTCCGATCAAGCAAAAGTAAATTATTTTCTATAGAGGCTCGATACCGTCAGAAGTCCTCCGCCATATCAGAACGCAACCAATTACATCGCGTCTCGGGCAAGTAAAAATAAAAAACGAAGAAGAAGATTGCTTAGAAAAATGCAATTCTGGGATTAACGCTAGAACTACCGATAATTATAGTGTATTTATACTCGAAAAAATTCATTTTTTATTAAGAAATCACGATAAATTTTCAAAGATCCAGTTGAGTAACTTTTTTAGAATTTTTATTAGTTCGACCACTTTGATAGTTCTAGTGTAAAGGGGGTATTCTATTGTGAACCATTGAAGAAACTGATTTCTTTTTTTTTTGTATTTTCTTAAAAAATATAGTTTGAAAAATATATCTGCAAAACGTTATGTCTGAACTTCTAAAATTAATGAAATTTTGTTTAAAGACGCGATGGTCAACGTCATTGTTATAGGGGTAGAAAACTATGAAAGCGTTTTTTTGAAACTATGTTTATTAGAACGGTGTCCATGATACCTGAAAATTTGATTGACCACTTGGCTTAATATTTTAGATTCACATTTGATACATGTATGACTATAGTTCGTATTAAAATCAACCCAAAATTCTTACTTTTATAGGACAATATTGTTTCTCCATAAAACCTTTTAAGCCCCCATTCACCTCTATATGTAGTTTTACACAAATAAAATATTCTTCATACAAACGTTGCAACCCCTTTCCACCCCTTCAGAGGTTGAATTTTTTTAAAATGCCGAAATAGGAGTTTGATTATATCAAAGAGCATTGAGACCAAGTTTGAAACAAATTCGACCACAAATAAAGTATTCCTCATACAAACGTTGCAACCCCTATCCACCCTCTTAGGGGTTGAATTTCGGAATATTCTTTCTAAAGGAAACCTTTGTGCAAAACTTCAGCTTTTTATGTCCAAGGGCTTAGATGAGTCAGTGAGTCAGGTCTTTCATTTTATACAATATAGATTATAGACATAATATGAATTTGTTAATAATATGTTGTTTGTTCAACGTGTCTATAACAGTATATAAGGTTCGTGGTACATGAAATTGCGAATGTTTACAAAATTTGTATTCGTATACATTTTAAGCTACCAAAATATCGTGTTGAATTAACCGGTTTTTTTTTTTAAACAAGCCCTTACAAAAAGGTTCTATCTGACTGCCTAGTCCCCTTCAACGCGAATGATGCTACGATCGAAGAAAAGTAAATTATTTTCCGTGCAGGTCCGACACCGTCGTAAGTCCCCCGCGAACGAAAGAGACGAAGACGGGTTTAAACGATGCGGATGGAATACCCCATTCGATTCCGTTCGATACCGGGGCAACGAGCGCCTGGGCAAGAACAAAAGATCGATTCGTACGGCGGTGCACGAGAGGTAATTGACTCTGGCGTCTCTGTTTCGTCGTGGACGATGGCAACAGTCGCGGTGAAACGCAACAGGAGAAATCCCGTGGGTCGCTCGTGCCCGAGCCGATTGATCTGTCAACCCCGTTAGGAAAAGAGTTGATCGACATGAATGAACCATTCAAGGCCACTTAATGGAATTCCCACGATTGTCCTTAAGGCATAATGCGACCGTGCCAGGTATAATAGTACGAACAGCTGTCTCCTCCCGTGCGCATGCTACCGCCACCGACCGATTCACATTTATACACAAAACGTGCGTGCACGTGTGCGTGACCGTAACGGGCGTTCCACACGTCGTCGGTTCCGCGTGTGTATAAATTTAAAAACATGTAATACACACGGCCACGTCCATGCATATATGTATATGGCCACGCGAGTGTTCCACATAATGGCCATTGTTTCATTCGGTCCGCGAGAGAGATGCTGATGGGGGCAAAAACGTAACCGGCATTTTCATTCAATAAAGTTCGCCCGGCCAGCCGCGACGTTTTTGCCGCACGCTCGTAACGTACGAAACGTCCGTTTCGAGAGACCGCCGTTAATTCTATTCAAAGAGATACGCTGCCATTTTTCTGAAAATTATGCGTTTAATGTATCCTACACGGAACGCGCCACCGCCGCGATAGGAAAATATGCCGCCGTTCGAGCTACGCAGCGTCGATAAGCAAGATCGATACGAGGTATCGTTTTAATATCGCTCGCTTTTAATGTGGGATGTCAAGGCAACGACCGAGATCCGTCGAAAACGAAATGGATCCCATTTATCAGTTTCTTTTCTGTCTTTATTCGCGAAGAATGGAGCCGTTGCTTTTGTATCGCCCTTATCGAAATTGAACGAGATACACTGCTCGATAGCAGTTGCAGAATCCCGACAAAGGAATTATTCTCGCGAACTAGCCGAGCATCGAGACTCGAATTCAGTGTATTTGACCGTAGATTCTCGAAATAAGCGTCTTACAGTACAAAAGTTTGTTAAAACGGTTCACTGAAAATGTCGCTACTTGCACGATTCGAAGTATTTTTTAACAGAATTATCTTAATATCAACGTATATTTATAAATGAATTTCTCGAAGGAAATAATGGTGTTTTTTGTAGAATTTCCGTCCACCGTATGCCACACCGTGGAATCCGAATAATTTGGTTCGAGCAACAAAATCGAACAGCGAGCAAAGACGGTTGGTAAAGTTATGACCATTGCGTCGTTGACGTTCGCATAAAAGACGGTTGAATTTCAGGTAGGAAGGTTACACGGATCGGCAACGAAAAACTATAAAAACTCATGGTCAAGATTCCTCAGGTTCAACTGGCGTCGGTGCAGCTGCACCACCCACGCATATGATAGGTACGCCACTGCCTTCAGCATTGTTTCTTTAATGATTCATATGGGGTGATTGTACCAAGAGCAGAGGAAGCAGTTTCCAACTGCAAATGCAATGAGCTTGTGTCGTATCGGAAATATTAATCCTGTCGGTGTCATCGAAGGTCTCTGTATTATATACGTGAATCGCACGTTCGGAAGACGATTATAGTAAGACGGTGATTTTACAATGTGCGCGACGAAACTCCGCCATTACTTTATTGAACTCTTAACACCGAGTAGTCTAGGGATTTCAATACTCTAAACAATCGGAATCTCCATTGTCAGAACCTTC